ATTGTCAGAGTATACTATCTTTTCACATCCTTGATGGGTTCACTTATTTCTCATTCAGACTTCTATAGAGTCATATAAAATCTTTTCATAAAAAGAATTAAAATGCATGCAGTTTGTTGACATTCCTTTCAATTTCAAAACTTCATAATACATTTTTCCATGTGTTGATAAACTGGATTTTAAAAGAGCATTTTCTAGATATCTAGATAATCAACAACACAATGAATATAAACATTTCCTATAAATAGTTCACCATATGGCTACCATTCTCAACAGATGGTGTCTGTGTATCCACTAGAATATACAAAGCTATGCAGATTTTGCCCTGCAATCATTCAAAATTCTAAACAAGAATTCTTGTCTTAATTTTAGTTTTACTAGGCTTTAATCAATGGTAAAACATACGATCAGATCGCCTACCTTACGTATGAGAAATGCCACAACTTTGTTAATAAATTCATCCATAAAAAGCAAGTAGTCAGGCCTCACCAAATCCATAAAAAGATGTTCCAAAGAGAGGCAGAATATCAGCACACCTTCCTCAGCATAAAGGGATCTTCTGAAGTTTAGCACATCACCTGAGTGCCAGGGATAGGCCAGGATGCAGTCTGGACTACTTTAAGCAATGTCTGACATCTTTCGAATGCCAGTGTTTGTGTAGATTCGGTAGTCACAGCATTGCAAAACACATTTTACCCGGTTTTTGAATTTTTACCCAATAAAACAAGCTATTAGAGTCTGATAGTTTCCCTGAAGTCATACATAAACAGCTCCAGGTTCTGTACTGCACCTTCCAAAGCTGCTGGGCAGCTGACAGTATTTATCCAAGGAATGTAAGACTGGAGGTGAACTACTGGGTCAGTCCTGTTTCATCTTAAAAACTACTTAAATTCCATCATCACAAAAATATTGTCTGAAAAAAAGTGTTCTTCTGCTTCACTGTTCTGTTGGAAATCATTATCCAGTTCCCACTCTACACTTACTCCATGGCTATTCTTACTCACTTGAATAAATACTGTTTTCAACTTATGTACTTTGTCTAACACGGTGATGTTTCTTATCTGTTTATGGTAAACGAACACATCCCCTTTTGGTTTTTAAATTGCTAGGCTTCCTGTTCTTAATAGCTTGTACTTTGCTGTCCTTGGCCTTGCCAGGCTGTAAGTTCTCTCTCTGTTCCCGTTATTGCTTGAATGCTTCTGCTCACCTGCACACACATACATCATTCCAACAAAATCATCACTCAATCCCCTGTACTGGTACCTAGTGCTCTGTGAAACTCTGTGAAACCACAAAGGAGGGAAGCCTCTCAGTAAATTACTTCAGTGTGGGAGAACAGCTACTTATTTTTCAAATATCTGGTTATTTTGTCATAATTACAGCGAATGGATAGTACTTATTTTCTACAGCAATATGTATAATGCAAGTGAAAGTCCTAGTTCGCACAAAGTGGGTTATATCACAACACTATGACTATATATATAATTATACATAATTTATAACTCTATATAAGCAAAGTATTAGCAGTTTATGTACAAGCCAACTGAGATACTTTATTGAAAATAAATACAAACAACACTAGAAAGTATTTAACTCAAATCAAACTTTTTGGCGATGAATATATATCTAAGCATGAATGAAAGAGTGCCAAGGCTACTACAAAAGCAGAATGCATCTGTGTAACTGTGCAGGACATTTTTGCAAACCTGTGTTAATCAAATATTATTTTAAGCATAACTGAAAAGTGTAACCAGCATTTCATCTGTTCAACTAGAATTATGAAAAATATGCAACAGGAATAAAAAGAGAAAGATAAAGAAAGCATCTTTTATTCCTATGAGAAAAAAAATGATTATAGTTTCTAACGGTCTGAACTGCAAATAGAGAACACGAATTTTTTGATATTGAGTATTGCCCAACTTTACCAGGCTATTCCTTACAACCTTTTATATTTGAGATGATCTCTAAAGGTCCCTTCCAACCTTAATGATTCTATGATTCTATAAAGTTTAAATACAGTAACACCAGTAACTACATAGCCTCAGTTTGTAGGAAATCCTCTAAACATTTTTACTTTGAGAGTCATAGGAATGAGTGGAATAGGTCCACGCACACATGCAGCCAGCAGGAGTAATACTCATTCCCTTTTTAACCCATCCTAGAAGCTTTTTACTTGCCCCTAACCACCATCTAATTAATTTGCCAACTACTTTGCAGGCTCTGGGACAAGGTTCCCATAACCCCCTCCCATCTAACTCAGTCATTAACTAGGTTAGGGGATCATTTCCCTTGTAAACGAGTCCCATAAGTATTTTTAGTGTTTTTGCACAGAAGAGAGCAGAATATACTTATTTTACTTCATATACAACAGACGGTGTTTCTCTTTAAGCATAAAAAAGGAAACCATTCTCTGTCCACTGTGAACAAAAATATTTCGCCAGCACATAAGTAACTGATAAGGGAAAGCTCATTGGATATGTTAAATGAATAATAAAAGCAACATAAACATCTACTTTATAAACTGATAGTTCTCTTTCCTAACAGTGCCCTTGGTTTCATTCGGCTCATCTCAGGGAGGAGCTAGTAAAAACATAATGGATCCATCAGAAATAAGACAAAATGATCACACTCAGCCTGAAACCTAACTCCTGAGCACAAGCAAGACTGCTATTAAGGCATTTTTAGGACTATGAAGAACCATCTAAAGACGAGGCTTACTTGAGTCCAGCTTAATTGACTAAGCACAAGGCAAGCTAGAACTGGTCTAGCCAGTTCAAAGAATGGATCAGACACACTTTAGCAGTACTGAAAATATCCTGACATAAAGACATGCTGTGGTGAAGATGCTGGGAAATATGGCAGACATCTGGATTACCAGATAAACCTAATGCTCATCTAAATGATCTGTTGCTCTATAAACTACAGAATGTAGTACTTAAAGGTTTGAATAATAAAATATATGAGCTAATCCTTAATGCCTTGCAAAATGTCACTTCTAGATACGAGCTTCCATATCATATAGAAGGACAACGAATGGAGACATTTTCAAATGAGAAAAGATGACAACAATTAGGGTACTTATTAAAAACAAAAAAGGAGGAAAAGATGCAGATAATGAATGATACGATGAATGAGTGAACACTGAGAGGAACAAAAAATACGGTTTCTCTACACACTATGAAGAGATCCAAAAAAGTACAAGATGTGTCTCAAGTCAGCCAAGCTGAAATGCCCAAAGAAAATGCTCCCTCTGCAAATCACAGCAGACTTTTCTACTCCCCTTAGTTCATGCTCATGACATCAACATGAAGGGATGTATAAGAACCACCTTGAGTCTAAGTTCTTATTAGAGTTTCTTTTAAAAGAGAAAACCACTTCATTTTTAATGAAGGACAAGTGCTAGGAATCAGCAGCAGAGCTATCAAAGAAAAAAAATAATATTGAATTATCTCTGCTATTTAATAGAAAAATGGCATGAGTGGTTCAGATCAAGAAGTCCATGTGGTACCATGGACCACGTTCTGTGCTGGCAGTTGGTAACAAAGGACAACTGCAGGAGAAGTGAATGATTTGCCAAGAGGGAAGCATATTTCCATTCCCAGGAAGCATATTTCCATTCCCAGCATGCACATTTTCCTATTTTCATAAGGATTTAGGTAGCCAAGATTTTGGAAAAAAAATCTACAAAAATTGAACTAATATTCCTGCTGTAAGAGATACATGTGAAAAATGTGTGGTTGTCATGTCCTATTGTTTTTTAAAAAGGGATCTAAATAAACAAACAAAAAAATCATCAAAATATATTTCCCTTTCATATAAATTCACACTCTGAAGACATTCCAGCCAAAGACAGAGATTATGAAGACAGTACAATTAAATTTCAACACTGTTTTAGCAAAGTTTAATCAGCAACAACTGCAAAAATTTCAAATATCATTTGAGGCACAAGTTGTGAGCATTATGAAATCAATTCCTTGCTTCAGCAGTATCTTCTGTGATTTTAGCTACATATCCTGACTGATATGAAGGTAGGATATTCCCTACAGAATATAGCCTACAGAAAATGAGATACTCTTAATAAAATCAAACTTGATATATCACAGAAAAAACCTTGTCCACAAGAAAGGACATTAATTACAGGTAAATATCATGTGGTTAAGAACATTTCAAAATACCTTGAAAAGCACAGTTAAAAAGCCAGAGTGACAATGACTAACACTTGTAAGAGGAACTGAAATCAGAAACTCCCAGAATTGAAAGTATTCATTACCACAAGTAACAGTTGAGTATTATACAACATAAGATTGCAAAAAGAAGGAAATCTTGTGCCTATTTAAATTTGGTCCAAGTCAGAATACATATTTTCTAACCCAAGAAGTTATACACAGTTGTAACACATCAACTCTACCTGCAGCAGATTTTAATGTTTCATTTAGATACTTACAGCTTTCAACCTGAATTTTACCAGTATTATTCATTCATTTATTATAATGTTAAATATATCTGCTCATCAATTAAACAGTCATTTTTACAAGTAGAAATAAGTGGTGGGAGATTAAAATGTGCTCTAATATCTTAAAACTATTGAAGAAGTACTTTTTATTTCTAGCTGTACTTCTCATGCCCTCGCTGGATTTAGACCTCATTGATATTTGAACATTGCCCAAAGTTCTGTGCTATACAGCTGAAATCTCCTTGAGCAGTACAAGCTTGGAAAAGTTCAAAGTTATTCATTATTTTTTAAAGCACTATATAAGGGCAATATCAGCCAAGACTCAGGTCTTAGCCAGAAAACCACATTAAGTCCTCAAAACAAGAATTACAAGCTAACTTGCCATGAATAAAACGCAGAAAAAACTATAAGTATTTCCATTTTAAAATTGTATCATTTTAAAATATGTAATTTATTTCATAAATCGCACTCATAAAAATCTCTGCGCATCGACCTTTATGAAGTAAAAGAGAAAATTGGAAAAGTGCAGTTTCCAGAATTCCATTACCTGTGTGCCAGCAGCACCCTGAAGGTCATCTGATTCGGTCCCAAATAACTTGGCAGCAAGTTTGACCAATCCCAGTTCCATTCAGTAATGGCTGACTGTTGATACATGGGAAGAAGCTATTGTTAGTTATTAATCAGTGTTAATATGATCAGTAAATTAAAGCTCCAGCTGTGATATACTAACCAAGAAGAAGAGGGGGGTCTAGAACAAGGACTTAGACAGATGATATCAATCATGTCCACAGAAGACGGTTTTTATTCCAGTAAGACAGCAATTAATTTATAAATCCATTTGGGGATGTAACCATTATTTATAAAAAGATAAATCAATTTTTGAACCGTTATTCTTCCAACTGTTAATGGCATTTTGCCCAATCACTTTGTCTGAAAGCTTGACTCTTTTTTTGAAAGGCAAAATAATTGGCAATTTTATTTTAACAGCAATTAACATTTTCTACTGTTAACAAAAAGTTTGCCATGCAGGACTTAGTATAGCTGAAACTCCCAATGTAACCTGTATCTTAATTAGAGAATGATGGTTTACTTGTGGTTTTTTTGTAAGACAGTCTAGTTACCAGATGGTTATTTTAAATACCAGAAAGCTTAAACAATATGAATTAACATAACCTCAAACTGCTTGCTCAATATATATATATATAGAGAGAGAGAGAGAGCTTGTTTAAAATAAAAAGATCTACAATAATAGCGGACAAATGACTATATATGATATTCCTGTTTACAAAACAGCACTGCTTGTTGTATAAAATTAATTTTCATTGCCTGTACTGGTCAAGTAATGACTACAATTCAACATTTTGGGAGATAATCACTCAAAAATTATATGCAACACTGGAAGGGCATTGCGTACTTAAAATTCAAGAAGCTTCTCAAAAAAATGGAAATATCTTGCAGGTTATCTTTTTCTTCTCACAGACAGCACCTGGTTCTTCTGGGAGAAAAGTACCAGTGTAATTCCTTGAGATAATCCCTCTCTTTCCTTCCCTTCTTATTTTACTCCCATTCTTCTTTTCATTTGATTTTCTCACTAACTTTCATCTCTGGCATACACTGAAAAGTAGGATTAAAAAAACAGGTGAAATGTAGAGTAAGAAAACAAGACAAGACTAAAGGAAGAAGAACATACAGTGAAAGTGGAAAACGAAGGAAGAAGCACACAACTGAAAAATAAGAAATGAGAGGAGGAGTCAAATATGAGAATAACAGGAATGAGAGCAGTATATGAAAGGACGGAAAGTAGGGCAGAAAACAGGCAAGCATTCAATCCTCTACAATGAATTAAAATTTAATAAATAACTATGGTGAAAATACTGGTAGAATCAAGAAGAAAAAAAAAAGGAGGAAGGGAAGAGACAGACAGAGAATACCATGAAAACAACTAGGAAAATTCATAAATACACCAGAAAACAACTACAAGAAGTCCATCAACCCAACCAGTTCTACTCAAAAATAAATAGTCTGTTTAAAGAATAAAAAAAGAAAAGAAAGAAAGAAAAAAGAAAAAAGTTTCCAGGAAAGGAAAATTATTTCTTTGCAATATTTTTCTTCATTTGACTGGGGAAGACTTGTATAGCTTAAATATATTCTTATTAGACAATAAAGCAGCAGCACTGGCAGAGACAGAGCTGCCAGGACAAATTGATAAAAGCCAAGGGCAACAAGTTACTAGGACCAGATGGTAATTATTCAAGATTTTGCAGGAATGCAAGAGCGAGGTGGCTGATTGGTAACAGAAATGACACACTCCTAAAAATCATCTATTGAAATAGAAGGCTGAAAGGTTAAGAAATGTACATATCTTTAATAAAAGTGATAGTGTTGATCTGGAAAATAATGGATCAGTAGACTGTATTTCAGGAACCATAAAGTTGATTGAAATTATAATGAAGTAACTTGCTAAATATGACACGTTGGTGACAAATTAGCAACGTTTCAGGAAAGGAACCTCAGCTAGTGTACTACATTTTGTACATATCCCAGCAAAGGGTGTGATTTTCTTTCAGAAAGCTTTTAAAACAATTTCTTTAAAGAATCCTGTAGTGAGGAAGCTAAGAGCATGCCTACACTGTATAACATCACATGGTACAGAGAGTCTTTGGCTAGAGCTCCATCAGCTCTTCGGAATCACGAGCTGTATTGCCTGCCTACTCCAACTGGGTCTTCCGAGGGAATTTTTTTTTCTAAATACAATACATAATCATTGACAAAATACATATCCATAGAAGGATTAAATGATAGTTCATGTACTAAAAAACAAATCTAGCTACATTAGATTGAACAAAAATCAACAAGGCAATAATGAATTACATGCTACCAGGTTTCATGGTAGAACCCAACCACTAAGAATTGAATTTAAGAAGAAATGTATCCTAATGGAAGGAAATTTGATCCTTGCCAAGGCTTTTGCATTCTCTGCAAGCACTGGCAATAGTTTTCACAGGAGATTGAACACTGAAGTATGTTGATCACTATTTTAGAAATGTAAAGTTCCACACTGCAAAATAAAATGTACATTTTTTTTTTATGGTAAAGAGAACTAAATTCTTTAAGTGCATGAAACAAGTCTTTATATTGACAAACTCTGCTTTTTTTTTTTTTTTTTTTTAGATAAGAGATTTTATGCCAAAAATTTGCAAAATCCAAAGCTATCTCATAAGATCTACCTCTTCTCATCTGTTGATTAATAGAATACTGCAAAACTACCGTGGAGCAGAAAAATTCTGTCCTGAATTGCTGCTTCAGGAAGGTCTTATTTGACTACACTATTAATGAATTGAGACTGAGGCAAAGCAAATTATTTTAGGTATTTCTTAACCAAGTTCATTCATATAAATGATTCTGTACTCTCTTAAATTCCATCAATTTAGTATACACATCTAGTGGATGTATACTAAATGGCACTAATGGAAGAAAAAGAATGCTTTTAAAACATACTAATCTGGAATAAGAAGCCTTGTGAAACTGGTATTAACCAGTTTGACTGTACAGGATATTAACAGTTTGATTACAACATGATGATCATCCAGCATTCATTAAGCAAAGAGAAAAAAAATTACTAGGTATGCTTTACAGCAATACCTAATGAATTGTCCAGTAACAGCATAAGTGAGAATGGAGATCATTCCATTTGAAAATAAAATTGTGCTGAAAAGCCATCTTTCTGCCAGAAGTCTGTGAAGTGAACTTCATGTAACTAAAATATAATTTATTTTAAAGTATATGGAATTCTAGTGGTATAGCTGAACTGAGGGATTAAGACTTGAAAAAGTATAATGATTTTTTTTTTTCAAGTGTCCAAGTGCTTTGAGAAAGTACGTACCATTTTCTGAAGGAACTTATTCATGTTGCTCTCTAGTGGTAATTTAGGCATCCCAATTTTTTTTTTTTAACTTCTATTCTAAATTTCTGAAAGTAAATTATATTCCTTTATCTATGACTAGTATAGCTTAATGAATGCTTTTCTACGTATTTCCTCTTTGCCTTGCTTATCTCATTAATCTGTGAATCTGATGCATTTTCAAAGAGTCCTCTACACTACTGGCGAGTATTTCTATGAAGGACTTACCAGGTAAAATTCTGAATGTGCACTTGGAGCTCTGCCATAATTTTCAAAAGGACTAATCCCTATTTACCATTACATAGATGTAATAAATGTCACTGTTAATAATGGGCTTTCCTTTACTACACTGAACTATCATAGAAAGTGTGAGTAAATGTAAATTGTTCTTACACACAATAGAAGAAAAGGACAATGGAGCTCTTTGAACATCACGCCACTATAACGGGTGTCCTCACTAGCTTCCTGAGTAATAACGTTCCTTCATCAAATGTGAACTCCTGTAATTAATTCCATTTGCGTGATTTCAGTCTCCATATTTATCACGTTCACAAGAAGTATATTATAGTACAGTAGCACCAAAGTTCCACGTTTTCACCAACCTGACTGAGCACTTTTGCACAATATTGGCTGTGCACCTGGAAAGGGTTGAAGACAAGCTGCTCTTCCTTGCCCTTCAGTATCAAAGGCAAACACTCGTCAGAGGTACCGCTCTCTTCAGAGCAATTCGCACAGGATAGCTGTTCCTTCAAATAATCCTTTTTAAGGGGAAGAGGAAAAAAAATACAAATTAATATATGCTACTTAGGCTTCTTGATCAATCATTTACCCACATCTCAAGCACAAGTTTACTGTGTGCTTGAGAGGAATTCCTTGTAGTTAAAGGAGACAGTAAACGATCTCTGACATTCAAAGCCTTTCTAAAACAGGTCTATGACAGACAGTAACTAACCTCCATCAATATCTAACTTCAGGAATTCAAAATATACTGTTCAGAAATTATCATTAAATTTTGTTCTTATTCAAAATACTTGTTAGGTGTATGTAGCCGAAATGAAAATTGAAACTGTTTTCTAAGAGCTTTTCTAATGGTTATCATATGATTTCTTCTACATGATAATGTATGCAAAATATTTAAAGTTATCTTCAGGCAGCATGAAATAGTTTCTGCATGAATATAAATTAATTGCTTAATAAAAATGCTCAAAACAGTTGTTTAAATACAGGAGATAATCTCCTGCTCTTTGAAGTTATTTTTAATTATTTTAATATTCAAAAACTTGAAAACATTTATGATTTACATAGCAATTTTAGAAATGGCACTGCAACAGATTATGATTATTTTGGCCACAATCTCTTGTGTTTTCACTTCTTAAACTACTATGTAAATAAATCACTGCATGCCAATAAAGTGTTTTGATTAAAAAGAGCCATTCTATTAAGAGCTAGATAATGAAAAATTTAAAGATCTATTTGCTGGAAGGACTACTGTGATTTAACAGTTTATTATTATTAAAATGAAACCCACAATGATAGGATTGCCATAACATTGAGCAAATACTCAAGGTGAGTCTTCATTAAGGTGGATGGGATATGAAGGGCCCTCTCACTTTGCAGTAGCACTGAGATGATAACATTTTTTCCAGCTGTGGTGAGGGAGCATTTTATATGACTGGGCAAGCCACTCGCAGCTCCTAAGTGGGTCTTTCTAAAAGAGTAATACAATCATTAGATTAAGCTGTGGTCTAGCCTATAAGGATTCCCGCCCAATCTGCTACTTCCTTGTAACTACTTCCTTGCGTTGACAAGGGTATAATGTTGTGAAATTAGCCAGAATATAAATAAATAAATTAAAAGTTTTCAGTCAGATCAGCAATCCACATAATTTCTAGTACCAGCACAAAGGGAGCAGGAATACACAAGGGCAAGAGAAACAGCATCTCTGAGGGTCTACTCAGATCTACTTGTGAAACCATATCCCAAGTCTCTTACCTACATTTACTCAGTCTCTAAATTTTGTTTTCTTCTTCTGTGCTGATTCATTACTTCATGCCATTAAAATGCTAAAGTTATGCTAAAGGGAGTTATTTAAGAGATATTTTTATAGATTCACTATTTAAAAAAAAAACCCACTTCTTACTTGCTCACATTTTTTTCAATCCCTGCAGACAGTTTTGGAAAAACCCTCTGGGTGTCACAGAGCCAGCTGTGGCAGAATCTGCTGTTTTTTTCAGTAGAGGTATTGGAACTCATTACTAATGCTTGCTAAGGTTTTGAAAATTTTAAGTGGAGTATAGCCACTTCCCAACAGAGGCTTTTTTCTACCCTGAGAAGACTCTGGATTTATGTCTTCAGAAAGATTTTATCAACAACAATAAATATATTAAGAGCTGTTTTAGTATAGAATGTACTGAGTTTACATTTATTGTAGATTTAGTACAGTGTATTTTGACCAGAAAAGGTCATGTTTTAAAAATCTGAAAATAAACAGAAATGAAACCGCGTCTGAATGAAAACACATGAGCTATATCCTTGCTATCGGTGACTGGCCAGGAAACAATGAAGTAGGTGCAATATTCTTGAGCCTGACAGCTCAGGAGAATTGGTTTCTTTTCAGTAGCTGGTAGTCAAAGATGCTTTTTAAAATGATTATTCTTTTTGATATATACATGAAGTACAGTAGACTGCTATGAGTTCTGCAGTATTTATTATAGATCTTAAATCATTATAGTTCTATTTCAAAACACAGCTTTCAAAAAGCTCTATTCTTTTTTTTTTTTTTTTCCTCTTTTTTAAGGAAAATAAAGAGCGACAATTTTCTGACTCATCATTTGGGCTTCTATTCACATGAAATTATTAAGCAGTGCAGCACAAAGCTATCCAAACTAATTTTGCACTACCCTTTCATTGTTTAAAGCATCAAAAAAAACAGATGCATGGACCTTCATGCAGGCAGATCAAGTCTATCTCTTAGCAGTCAGACACTTCAGACATAACTGCAAATTATGAAAACTATTATTGAAAAATAAGACTGAAGAGTGCATTATGACAAAAGCATGTTCAACATTGTAACTTTTTGTCAAGATTTCAAAGCCAAGTCCTGCAGAGTCTAACTGGTCAGGATTTTTTTTTTTTTTTTTTTTTTTTTTTGACAAGACCGTTTTTTCCACCGAGAAACGTTCTATTTTTAATGAAGCTCTAACTAGCTGCAGAAATTCAAGGAGAGACACCTGGGATGCAGAAAGGCAGGTAAAGTCCCTCTTCCACCTAATTCTCTCTCAGCTTCCTGCCTCCTGTTGGAGCTGCTCCACTTTGTATAAATAACTGAATGCTCACAGGAATCCACTCTTGAATTGGGGTCTCTAACAGCTGATATGGGCATTCTACCTCCTTCAGCTAAAATACGATTCTATTTCTGACCTTAGAAGTAACAGAATGGGTTTTTACAGTATTTTCTACAAAGCAGAACAGCTCCAACAGGAGAAAATGACAAAGCTTCACTCTGGAAAACTAATGGTCCAGCGGATAGAGCAGGTACTTTGGTTGTGGGAGACAGATTCAATTCCCTGGTTTAAACCAAGCAGAATAAAGATTTGAGCCTGGATATCCTGTCCCATAGGTGAGTGCCCTAACAGTGGGATTCTATGCTATTTTAGAAGGTCTCTCTCATCATCTTTTCCTCACTTCTTCCTACTAAGAGCAAGCCTGAATAAGCTCCAGGTGAAAAGGTTTTAGTTTGAACTGTATTACAGTAATAATTTTCATTTCAATTCCTGTACCATTTAATTAAGATAAAACTTGAAAAGATTCTGTGTTCTATTAATATTAGGTTGCCATCTCTGCATACATGCTTACATTGCTTCAAAAACTTCCAAATACAGATGGATAAAAGTTGCTCTTAAGCCTATATTTAGGGAACTAAACAGTTGATTTGACTTTCAGGAGCACAGTGCCAGCATTGAGGTGCTCTCCACCACCTGCATGTAGGCATAGTTGTCTAATTGGCTTTTGCTATCAATTAAAAAGATAAAAAAAAGAAAAAGAAAGGAAAAAATATCTTGGCCTATGCCTATATTTGCATTTTACTATAGACATTCTGAACACTTGCAATAATCTTAACAGCACCTGCTTATGCACTCAAGGAATAGCAATTTAGTAATCAAAGCTAATAAACAGAACTTTCTTAATTAAGCTGTGCAGATTCATATTATACAATTTAAGCAAGCCTGTGTTTATTTCAGTGTATATTATCAGAACAGTTTAGGTAATTTAGGGCAATTTAGTACAGTCTTAGGAATAATGACATAATTCTTTTACCTTGCCCAAATTCCACGTGCAGCAAACAAATCTGAATTTGTTTACTGTAATTTTGAAAGCACTTTAGCTGAGCAAAGTTATCTAGATTAAATAAGGTTTTAATGTGGATGCATTTACTTCCTCAACACAGACGTAGGGTTGGTTTGTTTGCTTTTTAAATCAGGGGAACTGATTTACCACATTCAGTTTTACTTCGGGTAAAAGTCCGATTCTCAGTAGCCTGCTGACTTCTTTTCCCCCACTGTTGTCAATCTCTGAAGTTGTATCCCCGATCTATGATCTAAATCGGAGGTAAGTTTATGAGCCATACTCTTGTTTAAGTACATAAATAAAAGCCTACATTGTTTCCTGTGCAAATGCAGGGAAGCCTAAGCTGAATAGATTCTATTACAGTTCAATATTGGATTTCATATTGACTCTAAGAAGCATTATCCCCTCCTTGACTAACCCTTAGCTGCCAGCAGACGCTGCCTCAGGCCAGTACACACCTAATTGCTCGGTAAAAAGGCCGTTTCCCTACCTCATTGAGCCGGATGATGTGATAAATTTGCCTCAGGTACTCGCTGCCACCTGGTTTGTGGCAGATATCCAGGACCATCATGTTTATTTTCTGCTCAGTGAATTCAAGTGCAGCACCTCCTCCCTCTAACGGTGCATCTTCCACTGCAACTGAGGTGCTAGAAAAGACACAAATATTACACTTTATTTCTAAAAAGCCCCAAAATACAGTCAACACACAACAAGTCTTGTTGCACGCACACCTTTGAGGCCTTTATCTAAATATATGACAAAATAGTATGTTATGTAGGCCAAGGTATGCCAAAGTTCTTACAGAAATAAATTCTTCATATTATACTAACTTTATTTTTACATCTGAAAGATGAAAACAAAATATACCTTACTCTAAAGATATACAACAAGCATTTTTTAAAAAAATTTCTTTTGCCTTAGAGAAGTATCTTTGCTACTTGGAATAGCATTAGCATTTGATCTTTTGTACACTTTTCTTTGCCTGTCGGGGAACATATTAAAGACTAATTAATGTGTCAGAAAGGTAGCCATTACTCTAAGTATAGGTTAGAAATTTTACTCTGAAATCTTTAAATCTTTTTCTTTTTCCCACGCTGGTATGGTGGTAACATTTCAAAGGTACACATCAGCCACTTGTTGCACTTTCTGCCTTCCAACTCTGTATTTTTCCCTGTTTTATTCCCCAAAAGTATGTCTAATTGCTACCAAAAGAAAAAAGGCGACAAAAGATGCAAATGCCTCGAAAAATGTGCACTCACAACTCTGACTACTCTTATAGTACTTTTTCTGCATAAAATTTGTCACAAACTCTGTACTAGTATTGTAAATTGATAAAGTATTAAGAAAAAAAAAGTATTGAAACTAATTCTTCTTGCAGCTGCATCATAGATACAGGTTGGCATATGGACACAGCCACATAAGCACATGAAAGATCAACAAATTACACTAGGTCTTCTACAGTCATTATTAGATTAATTTAAAATCTACAAAATAAACATTCCTAATGAAAAACAAGATTTTCATTGTTTGGAGGTCTAAAAGGAAGTATTTTGGTGCCGTCAGCTGAAAGTTGCAGTTTACTGTTGAAAACATGCCGTGATTACCAAATTAGTTCTTCTGAAAGTTGCTGTTGACCTGAAGGCTCACTTAAATGCCACACAGCTGCTGGACATTACAGCTGATATTGCTTCCACATGCAGCTTCAGAACTTCCTACAGAGCAAATAGTTTCAAAACATAAACTATAATTTTGTTCTTTGCTGAATGAAAGTAAATGATACTATGTTATTATGGGATATTTTACCAAAAGCTTCCAAAGAAATTGATCTTTAGAATTAAAGCACGTTTGACGTTGATCTTTCAATACCACATAAAGGTACGAGCTGAATTTCTCCAAGTTCTTAGAGGCTGACATTGAAAGAGTTGAGGCCCTGAGACAAAGCGGTGTATCAGTGTCAGCACCCAAATTGTATCCTTCCCTGTCCGTCATTGTGCAGGTGAAGCAGATGATTGGATTCAGTCACTGCTGTGATTAATGAGTTCCTCTCTGGATTTGGGACTGCTTATCAATCATGTCATTAGGAAGAATGTGCCCTGAAAGAGGCAGACCTCAGCCAAGGAATAACTGCATTCATCTTAATCTGGATATGCACCCAGCCAGCCAAGTCAGGGTCACCACGATGAAAAACAATAATCTTCAACTCGACAAATTACTTTGCAAAGACAGACATTTTGGGGCTGTGTGTTCTTCAGCATCTAACTTGACTGTTTGCCGCTCTGGTGTCACTAGAAAATGAAGGTTATTTTAAGGAATGGTAATTCTGTCAGGCAGTACACAAGACAAACTGTACACAGTCTGCCATGAAACCTAAACCTCCAGCTACAGATTTTGGGGGGAGGCAGGGAGGGAATAACAATTTCCTGAAAGACGAAGACAAAGCAGAATTTATATGTCGTAAGTGGTACCTACATGTTAGCCAGACCTTCTATGTAACTAACCACCTTGATTACAATAATCTAACTCAAAAACCACTTTCAAAAGTCTGGTACACTTGAAAGATGTTTTCACAATTACAAGTGTACATTGCTCTCTCTCGCTATTTATATATATATGTGTGTGTGTGTATACGTATGTCACACTGCATTTTATGGGTTTCATTTTCTTACATACATACTTATATGAATGTGCGTATATTTATCTGTAAAAGACTTCTATTTTGGAAGGACTACATAGCAAGCAATTTCACATGGATTGAGTGATGACTTTCAAACATAACTATAGCTATTCCAAAAAAACTAGGTAAACACCACAGATCTCTTTTTTGAAAGATCTGTTTTTATTTCAGTGTTTATGTAAGCCCTTCCCTAGTTTAATTGGTATCTACATTTCACAGCTTTACTATATTAGCTTTATAATTCCCTTTATATAATTTTATCTCTACATTGTATATCTTAGCTATTAATTCAACTTTTTTTCTTTTTCCCTCCCCTGAAATTGACTAATGATATTTGGATATAAAAAGGAAAAAGTAACATTTATGCTAGATTCCTATTGCAGGAATCCCACTCAAGTCAGGGGAATTTGGTTTCATAACCACATCATAAATAGTAAGTTGGGGAATAAGTAATGTATTCTTAAGTTCCTTAGACATAAAATTAGGAGACTCAGTCAAAGAAAAAATTCTCACTTGGGTTGGCACTGCACACACATTATATTGCAGTTATAAATGAAAGACAGTAATTTCCTGCAGTTTGATACCTGACATGGAAAATGTATTAAGCATTTTTTTAAAATGTTAAATAAACCAGGATAGTATATTAAATTTCAAATCTCCACTTCAGTAGAGGTACAAATACTAGAGATTTCATTTTGTAAGAGTTTATCCCAGTTTATTTAAAAATACCTATTATCTTCTCAGTAACATTACAAATAGTATGATGGCAGCATTCTGTTAAGAATCAATCTACACATTATTATGGTAGCTTTTTATTCTATTGAAGTTTCAGTGCCTGGCATCTGGCTTCAATCTTTTAATCACTGGATTAGAGCTTGTAAATTAGTATTAAATTGAAATGTAAAGATTACAAAGGTCAATGTCAATGAGCATTTGTGTGACACTATTACCACTTACTGCTGCTCATGAAACAGGATACCGTACACCTCAGAGCACTGCATGAAAGTCTATTTGTTGATATCAGTGATTCATATCTAGAATCACTCTATTGTTTATTTATACAGGCAATTACTGTCAGGATAGTCAGGATATTAATGACTGTGACTTTCAAGAATATTCAGGAATGTTACTTTTTTTCTTTCTTTAAGTCAATAATTTAACAATTTAATTCTCTAAGTCATGTAACTTCAATAAATTTAATATAAGGAAGAAACAGTATTTTCGTAGAAATAAATGTATGGTATACAAATTCACAGTAAAAAAAATAGGACCATGTACACACTGACATGTGTGCAACTCTTGAAAAAACATTATAGCTGGATGTCAAATATGCAAGCAGGTTGATATTTCCTCACAAAGGCACAGCAGGGTGCTTTCCTTGTCCTGTTTTGATATGTCCTACCCTGAGGGCAAGTATGTTATGTTTCAAAATGAAGTATGCTTACTTTTTAAATCACAAATGAACATGGAAAGCCTTTTATATTTCCCCTCAATTTAATCTCCATAACAAATAATCACTGGGAAATATGTTAGTGCCTCCTAGTAAGTACACCTGTTCACACACTGACAGACATAACAAATGAATTGTCTGCATTTACAGATGATCGTGAAAATGTGAAATCTCTTAAGTTTATGAACAGTCTAGATTGTTCCCATGAAACAACTGTCGTTTACTTTTTAACCACACAATTAACTTGCAAAAGAATATTATAAAAGCGTCCATATTAAGAACTAATCCATTTCACTTAACATGACTATTCATGTAAAAAATTAAAACAAAAAATAATATCCATAAGCACATCATTAATCCAGTAAAATAAAAAGCAAACAACAGCAGTTAAAATACAGCAAATTCTTACCAGTCTGTGATCAATTTTTTAGCTTTCAGCAACTGGCTTTCAATCCAGTTTGGTCTTTGTTTTTCAATGCTCTGTATAACCTTCTGGGTCACTTGTCTAGGACCACTTTTCTGTTTTCCCATAATACTTTCTAAGCACACACGAACTAAACCGAGTTTTTCTTTGCTCCATCTGTCAAGTGTTGCACCTGTTAAAAGTTCTGCAGTATTTCCATCCTCAAATATCCGACATATAATTACAATCAAGTTCCAGACAAGCAGACCAGCTTTCTTCAATTCAACAAAGTTTCTTGACATTTTTCTCTCAGCCAGAAAAAAGAAGTACTTAATTGGGGGAGGCAAACATGCAATCACTGTAGGTAACTTGCTGATTACAATAGATACTGCCTGAGCTGCAAGCCTTGTGAAGCCTTAAAAAAAGAAAGAAAAGAAGATATGATTAACATTAGCATTCCAGTTCTATCACAGCATCATTCTGAATGTTGTATGATAATTTCTAACTTTCTTTTGTACCAAAAACGGGTAAAAAGCTTAAGTACTCAACATTGTAGCTACACTTTTATTTGCTTCATCCATATGAATCCCCCCAAATCTCAACAATAACATGAATTGAAAACAGAGAACCTAGAAAATTTAGAATTCAGATCGTGATTCTATTAACAATTAGTCCCTCGGTGCACAGTTATTACAGAATAAATGAAAAAGATAACAGCCTGGTATTCTGAGTAGCTTGTAATAAACCATTAAGGCCTTCAAAATTGCATTTTTTTTTTTAACTTTTAACTTTTAACTTTTAACATAGAGCATTGAAGTAAATCTCTTAGAAAGAGTGACAGAAACAAAGATTACGAATATACTTTTTATCCTATTTTCAAACCTACAAAACTTCATCTTATAGACTTCCATATAAGAAGGCTGTGCACTCTATAGCATTCCTTTTTAATTCCTACAGATTTTAGGAGTAACTATAAAAGTAGCTATGGAAAATATGCTGTCGAAAAAAGGAGACTCATCTAAAACTAAAACAAAAATATGGCAAAAAACGTTAGTAGGGTTCTAGGTGTCACATAACCAATTTGTCTTTAAAACTAAGCAAGTCAGCCAACATACTTAGCCTCCTAGCTGGTTTTATCAGTTTAGCAATAACCTAAAATTATCACACAAGTTTAGACTAAACTTGACCTGCTTAGATTGGAGTATGAGTGGAATGAACATACAGGCAGCCTCATAAACATGCATCATGATGCTGAAAAAGAGGGTATATAGAAGAGAAGAATGGATTGAAGACTGCACATGGTAAAGCAGGCTTGACCAAAATCTACCAAATTCAAAACTTCATGACAGAATACATTAGTGTACTCTATGGAATGCTCTACTGAAAATAATTCAGGCAATATTTTGATGGCAATAAGTTTGTGGTGAAATTTTTGCAAAGCTTGGCATTTTAAAATGATGAAGGGGCCTTAGGCAAAGCAGGCTACGAAAGGAAATACCAGGAACCATCTTTACATTCAATCTCCTTCAAAATATATCGTATCATAAATATTATCTATATTTCTTTAGTGACTGCTTCAACAATCAAGCATTAAATTCATTACCAGGGTTAGTGTTATGCAAATAGAACTTGTTTCATTGTGAAGTTAGGATGAACAAGTTTGTATCATTGCAGTCAACACAACAGGTCTACATTTAGGCAGTTTCAATTAAAAATATGATAACCATAAGAAGAATTAGTTACAACCACGAACATAAGAGTATAGAGATTATTTGCTTTGTCTTGAATCCCACAATACTAATGTCATATGGTAAAAACATAAGCGCTACCAATTTTCTTTAGAAAAACTTCTTTATGCATGCAAGGGTGTAAACCTCAAGAAAGAGCTATTAAATTGTAATGTGGGAATTCCATTTTTTTAAAGTATGTTTGAAAGTATTTTTTCTTATTGTCAAATTCTAACCCTCATGAATCCTAACCATTCATTTTTGACAAACTCAGTAAATGTTTAACAAACTCTTATGAAGAACTTGTATAATATTATAATTTTCACCTACATTTTCCAGATTCTTTTCTCTTCATTTCTCGAGGTGTATAATTCCATTCCTTTGGAACAGTTTTCAGTAAACTTTCAGGAACTATTTGCTTGTGCTGATATGTTCCATAGTTTTCTGTTGCCTCCCATGAATGCATCAGAGAAATTATCTGCCTCACTACTCCCTTAACTGAATTAATCAAAGTCGTCTTCAAGTGTTTGATAATCTCTGGCTCTGAGTTGCCACAACTGGAAACTTCAGAAGAAAAAAAGGATCAATTATTCAGGAAGTGTATAAACATTCATGCACATTGGTTTCAGAAAGCGGAGTTTTGGAAACCTTACGGAAACAAAAGTAAGAAAGTAATGATTCATAGCAACTTACTCACAACTGCTGGTCTGTTACAAATCAAAGAAATAGTACTAAGCAAAACCTTGTAGCATGTACCGCTTAATACAGTACTGGCAAAGGCGATAAATTCCTTTATTTACTTCTTCCTTATTTCCCCACACAATATATTTCTCAAAGTGTAACTTAGACAGATGTCTTCCTTTTTATGTGTAGTATATTTATTATTTGTTAGAGTTTAATAACACAAGTAGAAATACTTATTTATCTCTATCTCCTTGTCTTCGATAGTACTAATAAACATATGTTTGTCAGCTAACTAATCCAGTTTATTAGAGAACAACAAAGGAAAAAGGATATTTTGTCAATAAAAATGCATCACCAGCAACACAGCTTGTTATAAGAGACTGCACGTTGAAAAAGGAACATTTTAAATGCAGTTAGTGACATTAGCATGAGTATTTATCTTCTCCACCTTCTTAAAAAACACAAGAAGAAGAAGGGCTGTGCTGAAGCCCAGGTGACATACAGAAGGTAGCTCCTCTGCAGAATTCCACTAGAAGTTAAGCTAGAGCGTATCAAGCGATTAACAGTGTGAAGCCATCTTCCATCACGAGAGCTAAGCAGCAGCTTCTACTTTTAGAACTTTTCCCTTTCGATCTTTTATTCCTAGAAATCACAATTGCTCAGCTGAATCTTAAACTTCAGTAAACCATCAAGACTTTTGAAAGATCTTTAAAATAAATGGGGGGAGGGAAAAGAAAGCCAAACAAGGGAGCATTAGGGGGGAGGCCTTAATAGTTTAAGGGAAAGGCAGCTGTAGAGCACAGCACATATTTGAAAAGAATTGTCTCTCAGAACTATCAGGACATTTTCAGTGAAACTCAAAAGAAAAACACTAGAGTAGCAGCCGTCAGGCAAGACACAGATTTATTTCAGCAGGTTTTTCACTAAGGTCCCTTGCCCTAACTTTTGCTTATCTGTACTAGTCTGAGTTTAGCCATATTCCTTTTCAGGTTGAATCCAGCTTTTTACCTTGGAGAGCAGCATTATTCCCTGTAATCAGGAGCACAGCTCTCCATCTCCATGGAAAACTAGGATCTGCCTGCCTGTTGGCAACAGAGCCCATCAGAATATTTCTGCCTCAAAAGGAGTCCTTCCTTTTTCTTCCACTCTAATCATTTCCCACTTTGAAATACTGGCAAAAGTCTGGAGCTCTTAACTGCCCAGAAACAAAGAACCTGTATGCATGGATGAACTACAGAAGTTGTCTGCTGCAAACTTGCTGGTAAAACTCTGGCAAATCAGACTCCTGGTCTACCACACTGCTTTATAACCTATATTCTGCAAAACTTACACCATGCCTATAGCATTCTGATAGCACTTCAGTTATTATTTTAAAGCATCCATCATTTCATCTAACTTAAGTAAAACTTATATGCAATATCTGTCTGATAAGTAATGAAGCTTAACATGAGATTAAAATAAGTATTAATAGATAAAATACCTGTCATATTACACAAGGAATCCCACAGATGCTCCTTTTCCATGTAGGTCTCAAAAGCAATACCAAGTGATTTAGGTGACAAAACACAGGAAGACAACACGGTGAAGATTGCTTCAATCAGGGTAGGCTCTTTGGTACTTGGTTTCTGTTCTAAGAAAGAACTTTGTTCATCAGAATTCAGCACTTCATTTCCTTGAAAATAAGTAAAAAAACATGATTATCATAATTTCCAAAGAATATCATAATAATAAGTCATAATAATGGACAGTGTTAATCAAACTGAAAATTGCATCTGAATAATACTTCAAAGAACAATACTTGCAGATGTTCAAATCTGATATTGCTCTGCAAAATGACATTTGACCATCTTCCTGAATTACATATAGTCATTCAAAACCTCTTCAAAGTATGCTTGTAAACTGTGAAATATGCCTCTTGATTCAAAAAAAAAAAAACCCATTCACTATAGAAAATGAAGTTGATTATTTATTAAATATTAGTCAAAGGAAACTATACTGTTTTTGTAGAATCACAACAAAAAGTTTCCATATGCTTAAATCCTATTATCAATAAATTAATATGAAATAACAGAAATAAATTTTGATGTATAAAATCAAATAGAGTAGCAGCTCCTCAGAATACATTGGATCTGATCCTTTTTCAGCATAAGAAGAAATTTAAAAAACAGTTGCCCAAAACAAAATGTGATCCCTAGTAAGTTACAGCAACTTATACTTTTAAAGGTAAGTGAATATTTTGATAAATATGATTGATATTTACCCACATAACATGTAATTCTATTTTTTTCATAATCATTACAAAATATTCTCTCAGTTGAAGAATAATAATGTGTTTAAAGCTGTCTGAACCAAAGTAATTCAATGGCTTGGAGTTTTGCTAATATATGTTTCTAGAATACACTTGTCATGTTAATGACCATAACAAATAACTAGACACAGAACAACTTATAACACTTTTTCTTTTTTTTTTTTTAAGAAAAAATTTAGAAAACTAAATTAGATACAATTCTACTTGAAATTTTCATTTTCTGCCACTTTGGCTGCCTGTTACTTTAGCAATTTGTGTAGGAGAAAGAGGGAGAGAACAATTTCTAGACTGCTTGTTTCTAGTTGATTCATCATTGTTCAATGGTATCTGTGACCTGAAGTTAAGCCTAATTTTCCTTTATCAAAGTATTGTAGAGTATGTGATTGTCAGTCTTTATTATTAGCTTTACCAATAAGTTTCCCACTACAAAAAAAAATTAGAAAAATGGAAAGAAGTATAAGAGAAATCTGGAGAGGATTATGCATACCTTCTTACAGCTACAGTGTGAACTGCACAAATATTTCGCTTCTAAGCAAAGATCTTCAAAAATCAAGAAACATACAACTAAAACTCATTCTGAGGCTAAACACAACAACAAATTATACAACAACAAGCTTTAATCAGCTTTCTCCTATTTCATCCCAAAGTAGATTGGTAAGAATAAGGACCCCTCAAAGTTCAAGTAGTGTTAACATTCTGACTGATGAAACCGGCAGGATAATGTTGGATAATTTAAAAGTTTAACTAGCTGATCAGTATAGCCAGTTAAATATTTTGAATTGGGAATCTACAGAAAGATAGGTAGATTTCTGTTATTTTTTTTTCTTTAACATTTATTAGCTTACTTGTACATTATATACATTAAATATTCATCTTAGCTTGAATTGCCAATACAGAATTGTTGACGATAAGAACAGTATTTATGACAGGCATGAAACTTGTTGCCCACTGATGCTTCCCACTACATATTTGTCCCTCTCTCCCCCTCCACTCACTACATCTGTATATCAAAAGCTAATCTGTGAATCTAAAGCTTCCACAGGCAGCTCAAAGAATATGCTTTTTTTGTTAGTATTAGTTAGCATTTTTGCTAGTATTACTTCTATAAATATGGATATAAGTAACTTTAGTTAGTTATCTGCTTAAAAAATTAGCTGTTTGTTATTCTTATATGCTCCCTCAAGTTCCACATGCAGAGATGATCCCAAAATAGATACACATTATTATTATTATTAATACAAATATCTTTATGAGAAAAGCAGATGTTTTGAAAATTTTGCCATTAATAGTTATGGTTTAAATCAGTCATGATGCAACAATCTTCCTTTGTCAAAATAATGAACATAATCTCTTTGGATGGTGCTATACATTAAAAATAGATTTTCAAAGAGACAGGATTACACGTATAATTTATCTGTATTTCTTTTCTATTCACTGAAATATCTGCCAGTAACTTGCCGACATTATCACACTGATATAGCTCTTATCAGCTACCAGATTAGCCATAAAATGTATCTTAACAAATTCAGAGAATCTTCTTTTATTGACTCTAGAATTCCTCCTCCCTAACGAACCCGTAACACGCAGGTAAATTATAAACAGCTATACTGTATTTTTTACCAATATAGTTAGTAACAATTTTAATTTCTTCAGGCTACTTTAATAAAGAAAATGATGATGCAACTTTGTTTTTTCTCTCCCTCATACAGTTCTTCTATTTGCAAATAACACAGAATTTCTCTTTTCCTCACATCAAGAATGCAAAAAGGATGTATCTGTAGTGTTTATAGGATTAAACCTCTTTCAGTAGAACTCTATACTGCTTGCTTCTTTGAGCTACCTGCTCAGAGTTTCTTCTATCATTTACTTTTATTCCTTTTCTGTTACTGTTCTGGTAGCTCTATTGTACTTGTCTCCCATACAGACAAACCTCTCCAGCACAATTATCCAGTCTGGCTTGATAGCTAGAATCTATTATAACTTTAAAAGTGTCTTCATACTGGCAGAACATTTTTTTTTTTTTATTTATTCCAAACTAAAATTGAAGATCACCTTTTTCTTGAATGAAATGCAGGGTTTTATCCCAGCCATTTCAGTTTTGTCAAATCCAAACATAAAACAAAGTATAAAACAATATGATAATATAATAATAATATATTCTCCATATTAGCTGCCACCTATGAATCCATTGCATCCTATACTTGTGACAAAAAAAGACTGAAGAAAATATGTAACAAACTTTAGATCATTTAACCTTAGTTATTAATATATCAGCAAACTAGTAGTCTGTGTATATATCATTAATCCTAAACTATTTTACTCTCATTCAACCTTATTCAGAATCTTTTTCTCCCTGAACAATTTCTTTCTGAACATCTGGGAAGAAGCTTCCATTAATGACTCCCTGGGTTAATTGCTTCTGTGAAATCTGTCTACCTGGGTCAAATAGAAAATTCATCACTATCATAATCCCTCCAGCTTTGCTTTTAATGGGTAATATAATATGCTGGAATCCTGGCATGCTGATAGCCAAAAGTTGATGGGACAATATTGAATTTAGGCTTATGGCTACACTACATTCTTTGCATTACTGCTATTGGGAACAAACTGAACAAGTTCCTTTAAACCCGTTTTCTCTTTTTTTTAGCTCATTGTTGGGAAGTGATCAAATGGAACAGGACATCTGATTGAGGTCCATTTGCTATGGTTCTTCTGACAAGAACTGTAACAATAATAATCAGTAAGCCTACCCTTCTACCCTTTTACCACTTTGGATATACCAGTATGGTATTGATAACAGTTTTGGTCAGAATGGTGTTTCAAGGTGAAACCACCTTCAAAAGTATTTCTTAATCCTATGATGTTCAACCAGAATTAAACATTTTGATTTCATGAAAAAGCTGGTGAAACTTCTCTATTGCTCTAGAGTCTCACACGAGCCTACATTTTGCCTCAATGCACGATCCAGAAACATCTGGGGACAAAATCATCTCTTCACAAGCACCCAAATTCCTTCAAGAGACTATTTCTTGTTCTTCAAATGTGGCTAGAGTTGCAGATGAAAAGCCCAAGTTGTCTCAAAACAGAAAAAAATACAATCCTGCATGTCCATCATGTCCCTATTTATACCCAAATATATGCCCCTATGTGTATTTCCCTAAAACTCTCTTTCTGAACTATGAGACTAACATTTTTTTTTTCCAGCCTAGGAGGTTGTGCTTCAGGATTCCCAAATCCAGTGAGTTATTTCAGAAAAGCATAAAGGTTACTAGCTTCAAGCACCCTAATAAAAATTCTTAAGCCTGTTTTACACATTTCACCAATGACAGAAATTCTTTATGCAGACAATTTATCTAGAGAGCAAACACTTCTGCAATAACTCACTACAAAGTTGGCCTGAGTCGCAAGCAAGGTCAGCTGGTAAAGGCGACACTGCACTCTGACATTAGGTGAGTTACAGAAAATCAGTGCCATTTAGCTTAAGATGCTATGGCAGGTAAAGATCTCCTCACAAGAGGAACAGAGCTGAGGTATATTAAAAAAAAAAAATCCTTTCCACTCAATATCAAGTTGTTTCTCTTGGCAGAAATTCATTTATAGAAATGCAGACTTAGAAAACTCTTCATATCTATTAGTGTCTAGGGAGTGAGGTGGTACTGCACTGCATTTTTTCTTCCTTAATGGAAATTCCCTCCCCCAACTGATTATGCATGTACTTTTTGAAACAACTTACATTTCTCTGGGTTCAGTTTCATATTTCAGTTCCATACTTATCACAGAACACTTGAAAATGTCACTACCAGCTCTTGTTTCCAAGTTTTAGCAAGGGCTAGGATATCATCTAGGTGCAACTATACATGCTATATGATAGCCTTTTCTATTACTCTCTCAAATGCACATTGTACAAGCCAAAAATACTTGGTTAAGCTACCAAAGGCCCTGTCCTGCCCTGAAAACAATTCTCTTGCAGTCTACTTCCATGTGACAGTATTCACTTTAAAGATGAATATATAAAATTAAATTTCTTGTGTATTCATTGTAATAAATAAGAATTCTTTAAAGGGATTTAATTTCACTTTCTATTACCCAGAGTCTACAAAAGTAGACTGAGGACTTAAGACTGAATGAAGGCCTTGGATGTGCCTTGCTGATGATTCCTCCATGATCTCCTTATCTATAACTGGTAAATGGTGAGCTGAGTGAATATGTTGGTCCTCATTTGTATTGCTCTTGTGCTGCGCTAGTGTAGTTCAGTACAGCTACTATTTGCTTTATTATGTGAAGACTGTGAAAGTTCCTGAAAAAAAAGACTTTCAAATGAGAAGTCATAGATTGTTCTTTGTACTCTCATTTAGAGTAAGTCTGGCAGAAATCCTGTTTCACCCTTTCTTTTTCTATATCAGCATCTCCTGGATTCAATAACTTGTATTATGCAAGAACCCTTTTCTTTATTCTTCCATTATTTGTTGCTTGTCAGAATAATCCATTTCTGTTTCATATTCATGAATGATAAAGTAATTCTGATAAAAATGTTCCCCAAGAAAACTGCAATACTGTTTGTTTTGTCAGAAAGTTAACTAAATATTTGCTATCTTCATTATTTCTTCCCAGAGCAGGGAAAACACAGGTCTGCAGATCTTTCGCTTATTCAGAAATACACCTCAGAAGAAAATTATTAAATCCTGGATATTTAAAAAACAACTCCAAGCATTTATTACTGTATAGCTAAATGTAACTCAAAACACCTAGGTTATCTAGACTTCCAGTTTGAGTTACAGAGATCTCATTATTTCTTTTTTTTCTTTCTTTTTTTTTTTTTTTAATAAAAGTTTATTTTCCCCAGGTGCTTATGCACTTTAGATGAAAAAGGTGAGAGGTATGTCCAAAATTTGTCACTTAAAGTTTGGATCTTTTTTACTCCTGAACCTGAAAGATAGACTTCTTAAGCACTTGTTATGTTTTATCCTGGTTAACTTTAATTTTATAATGTTAATTTTGTGAGTTCATTCTCTTCAAACTGCCAGCATTTGCTTGAAGTACTTCCCTTTTCCTATTTCTCAAGTAGCTCCTTTTAACTACTCATCCTGCTATTAACAACTTACCATGTTTGTAAACTAAATCTGTACCTCATACAAAAATAATGAAATGATTTTGAAAACCTTAATTTCATAAATATACGCTATAGAACTAGCCTTAGTAGACTCACAGCAAGTTCATGATTAATGTTCAACTCCACCATTATCATCTAATTCCTTTAGTGCACTGCTATCAAAAATATTTCAGCTTCCATGGTATCCTTTAACAAGCGTTTATTCTGATCTTTGGTCTGATATTCACCATGAGACAATATGAAAACCATTACCAATAACTGGAGAACAACAAAATTGAATTTGCTTTTATGATACCTGCCACAAATATCCAAGAATTTTGCTACAATACAAAAAACACCCATAATTGCAAAGCAAAAACCATCTCTGTGTGTATATTATATATATATATTATATATAATATATATAGTTGTAGTCTTTTAAAAAGAACTCATATCTACAGGCCTAATTTGCAAAGAGAAAAGAAATACATAAAGAAAATTTTCCTATTTAAATATTCATATAATCTAGATTTAAATATTGGGGTTAAATACTAGGCTGTTTTATTGTCACTAAGGTAAAATCGCTCAAAACCGACAATGACCTCTTTCTGTTTTTACACAGAATTTTACACATTACAAAGTTTTATTGTTAATGGGTACAGGAGTATGAATTACTGAAAGCGTTTTATCCTACTGACCAGAAGAACCCCAAACTGTCATTGCTATTACTGAACACAGCTTATTGGTGCAACTTTTCTTATACTATCATATAAAACAGCTCACGTCAAAAATACTTTAGCTCCTCTAGCACAAGCAAAGCTGTATTTGAGTAAATGGTGTTTGATAGTTGCATTTTTTTTTTTTATCTATAATACAGTCTTTTTTATATTATTTACAGTTCTATTTTCTATCAAATGAATGATGTAAAGAATACAATTACCTTATTATTAGCTAATTAATCTCAAAGTGAATGTAGAAGACAGATCATTGGAAGTTTCAACTTTATATAAAGTGTAAGTTTATTCATATCGATGTTGTAGCTATATTATTACCACATCTGTAAATAGCATGATTTCTAACTCAAAGTAACACATATTTTCCTGAAGCTGAAGAAGCTGAAGAAGTCGGTCAGTCACTAGATTAATATATTCTGTCATTTAATCCATGTGATAATACAAGCAACAGTAAAATTCAATGCTGGATAACACTACGGTAAGAATATGATCCCAATCAAACATTTGTCAGTCTTTGTAAAAGATGACAGGTACGTGAATGAACACAGTGCAGCTCTCAATAACATGCATGACAAGTTGAAGCAATGTTGTACCCCGATAAATGTTAGGACACTTTAAAAATGACAGAATTAAATCATTTAATACTATGTGGAGCTAATAGTTTGTTTGATAAGCAGCAGGGATTCGTTTCCTAAAGAAAGATAGAAACAGAGACTCTCATTTCAATATTGCTAGAAAATAATAATTATGTCAAACAGCCAACCATACCATAAACTTTTCCACTTCATCTAGAAATTAAAAGATACATTAATAACATTGTTTCAAATAATGTTAACATTTCAAAGCTATGTTAATAACATTGTTGTTCTTTCAAAATGACATTAAATTTACTTATTACAGACTTAAACTGCTGCCTGTTTCTGAACTATGAACGCTCACAGATGGACTGCAATGTTTGTTCCATTAAAAAGTGAAAAATCTTTCTTTTTTCCTGTTTGAGAAGTGCCCTACTGCTAACTGAATGGCTATTGATACCCAATACTGGTTCATGGACTTCCCTCAAGTATTAAAGATGAATTTGTGTTTCTCACTGATATCCTTACAGAAATAAATAGTATAAATACTTACTTGAACTCCTCAATAAGATTCTCACTAGGAGACAATCATGATGTAGCAATGTTTCCAAAAGCAAGTTCAAATTACAGTATGGTTGGGATAAGAGCAGTTTCAGCTGACCCTGGGCTGCCATTTCGCTGACCGATGGAGTCCTTTCAAAATGTAAGATAAAGAGAGAATAATGTAGTTAATTTATCTATGAAATTAATATCCTTAAAGTGCAGATGTAATGCTAACTCCTTTAAATGTCAGTTCCCCCCAGATTACTCTGAAAATGCTTTCATGCTTGCTTACTTTAAGGCAGCTCAGGGAAGGAATTACATTTAATCTCAACTAGCTAAAAGCAAATTAACATTTGGTAGCCTGCCAAAGTTAAAACTGATATAGAGTAACCTCACATTTTTCACACAGCCATGTTGTTCTACGAGGCAAAAAGGGGTTGTCTGTGCCTGAATAAATTTAAGGATATTATTTTTCAGTTCACTGTTACATTAATTGTTTGGCAAAAGCTTTGAAATGTCCTGAATGAATGAAGTACCTGAAGCTGACAAATAACAGAAGACAAAAAACAGAAGACACTGCAAGAAATGCATAAGGATGAACAATTCCTACATGTCCATAAGAATCCATCTGAAATACTAGATTCTTTGGGACACAGTTTTGCTTGAAATGAGGCATGAGAAAGTGTAGTATGAACTCATTACTTTAAGGAAATAGTTGTTTGTTTGTCCTTTGTTTTCTGTTTCCATGTTTTGGAAAGATTAGGTTTCCAAACAGAAACATCCATCCCAGGGCTTCTTCTGAGCTTGGTCAATTACCCAACAGCAGGACTCAAGCAGGAACAATCAAAATGTCGATGAATTTTTATTTCAATTTTACAAAATCTTTTTGAGCTCTGTAAGAAGTCTTTCTCTCTCTCTCTCTCTCTCTTTTTTTTTTTTTTTTTTTTTTTTTTTAAGCCAGTGTTCTTATCCCTACCCTCTTTTGTACACCTGAGAAGCTCCACATCTCCCCCAGCTGCTCCTCTCATTGTGCATTTGTCTTCTCATATCCCTGGGACACAAAAGGGTGCAGATTCCTCTAGGTTACCTCTCTGCAGGGAAGTGCATGAGGCAAGTCTGTTGTTGATGGCAAAGTAGAGACTGTTCCTCTGTCCACCACACTATCCCGCTCCTACAATTGTGGAGTAAAAGATCTACAAGCTACCCTCATGTTAATACATGTTTCCTAAGACACTAACAGAGAGGAGTCAGTCCCATATCAAAGCAGTGTGGTGAGGGATGGCATTCAAGTGTGCCCTCAGAAAACGCAGTCTTTTTCCCTGGGAAATGGGATCCCCTCAATTTTAATATAAATCAAAGGGACTTCTAAAACCAGCTCTTTAGACTCTGCCTTGGATCCTGCAAGGAGAGATGGAGAAAGATTTTTCCAGTATAGTTTTCCCAGAGGTCAAATGACACCAGGTTATATCTCATCTACAGTATTAACATCTCCATATCTCACCTTTGAGGGGGAGAAGCTAAGGGTGAAAGAAATAGCTCTGGTAAAATGGCTCAGCTTTGCTCTTCCTTCTGCTGCCACTCAGAAGGTCATAAGAACTCTGGCATCGATTTGGGAACAAGGTAAAGAGCCAGAATATCCTTCACAGTCTGAGTTTTGTTCTCCAGCTATTATTTCTGGGGAATATTCTGTATTTTTGTTCTATAGAGAGGAAATCTTCAGTGTTTGCTAAAGGTCCCTATATTTGAGTTTTCCCACTGGGATGAAAAATGGCACAATAGACAAATAATTCCTTAATCAATAAAAGAATCCATGAAAAATGATTTTTAGCTAGTCTCGAAAAATAGACTTTTTTATACGAAAGTTTTCAAATAGCAATTTAGAAAGTCAAATCTCTGACTGAAACTGAAAGTTATTTGTGTTTGAATACACAAACATAATCTTTTATAAGTGCCAACTACTGGTTTTATTACAGAAGGTTATACCAGTGATGTTGTAAGTCAACGATGTGTTCTAAAGCTTGCTATGATGCATAAAAACATACTTTCCCCTCAAATTTAAATGTTTTCCTGATGTGAAATTTTGCAAAGGAATGATTTTATGGCTGTTGTATTTCTTATTTCGTTTTTCTTTAGATATTTTTTAACGGGAGGTTTTCAAAATTGGGCTGTGGGTAAAATTTTTTGCAAGGCCAGTTCTTCATTACCAATTGCCATTTAAGACAATTTTATATTTATATAAGATTGAGGGTTCTTAAATTTCACTTTATGTTGAGCCATCACATTTATTCATTTGGCTACAAGTTTCTGCAACAATAGTTGCTAACACGGAAAGTTTATGCACTGCGTATGTAAACTTTATGCACATAAATTTTACCTGCAAAAGTAGCAGTGTAAAAACTACACATGCACTGATGCATAAACTGTACAGGCATAAAGTTTATCTGCCAGTGCACACACAACACCTTCAGTATCAGTTAGAGCTTCCTTCATCACGAGATTCATTTTTCTGTCAGGCTAGAGGAGGATTTATACACGTCTGCACATAAACTTTATGTGCCATTTATATGCAGCCACTGGAACAGAACTAAAATGGGGTTGTGTGGTTGTTCTAGTGAGAGGAAACTTCCCTGCTATGTTCCATATTTCTGGGACCACCTGCCTGAACGTCGGGTGTGCCACAACCTGCCTCTGCCCATAAGCACAGAACAAACCACACAGAGAAACAACTGCACAAGAGCACTGCTTCCATTAAGCTTGCTATATAGATAGTTTACCTAATATAAGCCTACAATGCCTGGAAAAGAAAATGCAACCTCTAGCTTAGTGCGCGCGCGCACACACACACACACATTCACTACAAAAAAAACAAAATAAAGCAAAAAAAAAAAGACACCTGCAGGGCATCCCAGAGACAAACAAAAAATAGCAAAACTTCCACAACTTCCTTTCTCATCAGCTCCTTTATATCACACTATTATGCCAAAATTCCACTGTTAAACTGCTTCTTGGCACACACCTTGGCATTGACATTGTAATAGCGAGGGGATGCCTGGGAGGAGATGGGCAATTTAAGTGCCATGAGACACCTGGCACATCTTTTTAGGGAATGCCCAATAGTGTAGGGAGGTCTCGACAGTGACATTTTCATGTCATACAACATACAACATTCTAATTGCATTTTATGAAAAAAAAGCAGACATTTAAATCATGATAGAACTTGCAGCTAAAATAACATTTGCATATTTAAAGTCTACAGTACAATCAAACTTTAGCTATTAAAACCTCTTAAGAATGTAAAGCATTATTTAATAGAATAAATGTTCAAAACTTGTTATAAATTCCAAAACTCTAAGCTATGTTAAGACATTATTAGTAATTAGCAACTGAAGTTTAAATTCACACTGGTACTAGTAGCAAGATCAATAGATTTAGGGATCCCTAAACTCAACATTTGTATATGTAACGTTTGTAAATTCAATACTTCACTAATTCAGTTTCAGAGCCAGTTTCACTGTATTCATCTCCTTGCTTAAATTCTACATGTTCTCAATTCTAAGAAGGGCATTCATTGTCTTCAGGATGTAAGAAAAGGGACAAGTTGGTCAATTAGATTTATAAAGGATAATATTTTAAGTGGCTTTAGAAATAAATGCCATTTTTAGAATATTTGAGTTGAAGTAAAACTCGTCTGTCATTGACCAGATGGGAAGTTATCATGTTGTAATATACACCAGTTCTTGGCTCTTTAAGCCTCTTGCAAATTGAAATGTACAATGGTGTGACTCACTCAGAGGAAAAATAAAATAGAGCAGACATTCCCTACAGCCATGAAGCTAGCACCAATAAATGCACCGAGAAGTTTTGTAACGTGCATATGGAGAGGCATATGTTCTCTCATCCTTGTAGCTCAGTACTAGTGAAAATAAGACTAGCCTCATAAAAAGTGACAAAAGGTGAAGTACATATAAATATCACACATAAATGTTCAGTTTTGTACAGCAGCAGGAAAAAAGCAGGACTCTCATGTTCAAAAGGTATGAATATAAAGAACATCTGAAAGCTAACAGAAGCAGACATTAAAATACACTATAACCAGGACATAATTTCTCTTACTATGTGACTATTTTGCCAGTATCCAAGATAAAAAATAAAATAAATATTTAAGGCAAATAACAGTTAGACCATTCATTTTAAACAGTGACAAAGATGTTTAGGTCTATTAGATAAAACAGACTGTAGCCCTATAGACACCACAAGTGATGTAGTAAAACAGGCTGCATAATAAAGATTTATACAAAAACATTTTGGAGACCAGCAAAAGCTTTTTTTTTTCTTGAAATATCAGGGAAAATCTACAAGTGTATATAAAAAAGCAAGTTACAATTACACTGGCTTAGTGTTTTCTGAATTCTTTCAGTGTTAAAGAATGTAGGCAGCCTCAGCTAGGACCTTTACAATAGTATGGGCTCTCTATTTCGCTATGGAGAGTGAGTGAATACGATATTTTTGTTATGCTTGGAAATAAAAGCATAAAATGACCTAGGAAGAATTAGGATCCTCTGCTGGAATAGTTTTCTGCAATGCTTAAAAACAACCTTTCTTTCTAATATTTCAAATATCATACTGGAAGAAAAAAGCTTCCACAACACAGATACACCATGTAAAATATTGTTAACAAAGTTGTGACACTTCAAAATATGTGCTTCCAGTTACATTACTTATTAAATACACAGGTACTTTCACTGATCTTCCTGAGCAGCTTAAAGTTATGTTGCTAAAAGAGGATATTAAATATTTTACTAAAGTAGTTCACCAGGACAGCACAGATGGCTTTATATATATGGAATGCACAGGCACACTAGTTGTATTACCCCTGGGATGCTTTTTCTCATTTATTTCACATTTTTCCCATATAAATCTGATAATGAAGTTGTTTCTTTGGTGGTCAGGAAGATATATATTTCCTCATATTTCTTCTGCCCAGTGAAAATATGCCAGTTTTAAATAGAAGTGGAAGAGCTTCGACTATTTATTCAAGACAAAACTGTCTAAATAGCATCCATAAAACCTTAATCCTACCTCAGAAAAGAGTATTCAGTCTATGACTGAAGTGGTTCCAGCATTTCCTTTACATCTATGCTGACAGTAGTTATCAGAATATTCATCTTCTAAAACTGTTATTTCACAGTCTAATTTAAATCTTGAATATTGTCCTTAAACAGAAGGTTCCAAAGCTCAAAAAATTGTCTTTCCTTGGACAGGGAAGTTGTAAGTCCTTAATGAAGCATAAATACCCCAAGAAATAGAGTAGGTCCTTTCTAATGGACCATGCAGTCCTTCCTTTCTCATCTTCCTCTTTATCCTGCCCTTTCCCTCCAGCCGTATTTGTCTTTTAAAATCAATGGCAAATTTCATGGCAATTTGTATGAGAGGTAGAGGTCCCACAAACACAGGATATTCTAAGCTTCAAAAAAGGGAAAAGGATACTATCTCAGTCAAACAGTTATTCACTGTGTTTGGCATTTCAGTTAGCTTAACAGGGCACATAAAAGCAACTCGGTCCCAGCCTTGTGCTCTGGGGCTATCAGAGGTCCTAGAGAAGGAGATAACAATATCGCTGACAAGGAGAGCTGAAGGGAGGGCTGTGGAAAGGCAACAGGATGTTTTGCACAGTAAGGGGTAAAATTATAAGAAATATGTTACTAAGATGGGGACAACGAAGGTTAGAGGTCTAGAGCACATTGGTGTTCATTTAGGTCAAATTTATATGATAATCAAATACTCTTAAATATACAAATACTTTTTTTTTTTTCTTCAGAAAAACACACACAAAAAAAGCCCTCAGACCCAGCTTTTCATGAAAACATAAAGTCAAAATCTCTCAGGAAACAACTTTTGGAGAGGAGGAGGAGGTGAAAGGGTTAGGAGAGGATCGACACTGGTGTGGGAGTGCTTCAGGTTCAAAATTAGAAAAGGAATGACAGCACAGCTGGTAGCATATGCCTCATATGTAACTTGCCATTATACGCAGTGACACAGAAAAAGAAATTAAGTTTTTCCTTCTAATCAGGCAGTAATCTTGGAAAAAAAAGTCAACTATGACCAAGCCTCCTATTTTCAATGAGCTATTTATATATCAAACCTTTTTTTTTTGAACCAGCAATTATAAACAGAAAAACTTGTATTCTTTTTCTCCCTTTTAATTATTATTCTTTGAAAACTGCACCTGTGCTGAGCTATGCTATTGTCAAGAGCTATGTATTCTTTAATTAAAGCAAAAAATCTTGAAGATGATTCAAATATCAAACATAATGAATTTACTGGCAAAAAAACAGACTGTACCATTTTCAACGTGACCTTTCTTAGAGATGCTTTAAGTGTAAAGATTAGGGAAACTTGCAGTGAATTTTTAAAAATTCTACTATGTTGCTCCATCAGAAAATCAACTGAACATTTGTTCAGATACTTTGAAAACAGTGTGTCAGAACAATATGCGATAGATATTGATTATCTGGTACTTCCATTACAACAGTTAACTTTAAATACTCACTTAAGTAAGGAAGAAGAGGATGATGGCATGCAAGATAACCAGTGTAATGGATAATTAAAGATTTCTTCTGAAAAGTCTTGAGAAGGAGGCTCACCAGAATTGTTCAAAAATGCCCTGAAGGAGAAAAGAATAATAAAAAAAAGAATAGCTGAATTAAATGAAAGACTTAGAAACCCTTAGGATGACTAATATTAAACATATAGGTACATACAGGTAATTGCAAAGGTATTAAATTATTTTAAATATCATTTCAAAACTTTTCACTTTTTGCACCTTAGTTTCTAGCGCTGTCAATGGACTGTTGAAGCATAATTTTCTTCATCTATCTGTTCTTACACAGCATGTTTTCAAACTATGACCAAACATGCATTGAATAAGCCAGTAACTCTTTAAAGACTCATTTCTATTGCCCTTTCCCTTCTATTTAATACAGGCACCACATTATCAATAGTTTGACCATAATCAAAGGTAAAATATCTTTTGAAAGGATAATAATTTATCCTTCACAAAAGACATGGAAGGAAACAGGGGAAGGGGGGGGAAGGAAACAGGGGAAGGGGGGGGGAAGGAAACAGGGGAAGGGGGGAGAAGGAAACAGGGGAAGGGGGGGGGGAATCAAATTTTCCTTGTTCACTGTCTTGCAAGGGAGAAAACACTGGCTGAAATGTCTGCAGTTTTCAGACACAAGGACTGGTGAAGAATCAGATACGTTAGCTTAAAACCACCTCCTTCATCTCTTTTTCTAAAGGATGGCAAGAGGCATCCTGTGTTTTGTCATTTAATTAAAACTATATTTTAACTATTTTTCACAGCTACACATACATAATTTACAAGTGCAGTTATATGCCTATAAGATGTCTGCCTTTAAGACCTCCAACAAAAGCAGAAGGAAAATAATACTCTCTTCAACATGAAAGAGGAGAATGTAAGCTTCATATTGAACTTATCAAAATCTAAGGTGGTCCAGTTGCAAATTAATTCTATTAAGTTTGCAAAATTTGTATTTTTCAAAATTACTTGAACATGATCTTAAATAAGCATTTTTTGAGCAGAAAAGTTAGGACATTCTGAATTTATGAAAAAATCAACACTAAAAATAAGGGAGATATTATATAGAAAAAGAGAGTATTTAAACTGGAGAATAAATCTTTTAAAGTCATTCATGTCAACAGATGGAGAAGATTAAGGAAGAAATCATATTATTTCTCATCCTTTGAAATATTTTTTATTTACAGCAAAAGCCATTTCCTGTAAGAATGCACATCAGTAATGAGAGAGAATTACTTATATTCATGAATTTATACATCCTAGAATGAAAGGACAATAGATTTGGGTAGGAATCTAATAATAAAAGACTATCTTGTCTACAGATAGTTCATGAACTGTTTTAGACATTTCTAGGCAAGAATAGATTCTTAGCAGTCTCTTAATGACAAGGACAAGGCAGAATTTTGGACTCCGAGGCCTAGAACATCTTCATGCAAATTTTGAAGCTGACACATAGATAATATGATAGCTTTAAAGCTTGTATAAATATATGAACAACTGAAAATATTATTAAAAAAGCAGTGCCTAACGATGATACAAAATCCTTGCTGCCAGCACTTCTCAGTGTCCTCTGCTGGCTATTTAATTCTTGCCAGGAAATAAAGAAAAACCCAGCTCTGTGCCAGACAGTTTAATTCAACTACTCTTCTGACAGAAGTATAATAATAGCTAGTAGAAAATTTGTTTTGACTACAGGATATGTTAAAGCAGCTGCCTATAGTCTCAAAGCAGCGGATAGCATCTGTGAAAGTATTTAATACCACAGCAAGATTCCAAGTTACAGTAGTTTTATTCTTCTGTGGAGTATGACAAGGTGAGAATTGATCTTGTAAGCCTCAGTGCAGGTGTGAAATAATGAGATGTCAACAAGATGCATCCTAATGGTATTTCCTTGTAGCCTTTGGAGGATTTAGCTCTGTGTAGGGAAGTAACATGACTAATAAGCAACTTAATGAGTTATACTGCTTGCACTTTGAAATTAAAAAATATTTTGAATTGTTTAAATGACAGCTATTTTTGCCCAAAGTGGATAACCAACAGAACAGAAAATTGGAATCTGTAAATTCTCCTCTCAGTATTTGTCATTGACCCAAACCATGTTTTGAGAAAGATACTTCAATTCATAACACAAAATCACATGAAGGCAGCTATACAAATATACAATAGTGATCTTTTTATGATCACTAATGGAATGACTGTCATCTCCTGCTCACTACAAAAGATGAAAGCATATAGGCAAAGTGCAAAAAGAACAACTCTACTCAAACTCAAACAAACCCTCAGCACGGGACAGAAGAGGATCTCTACTCCAAAGTCTTAAATGAGACTGTTTTACTGCATATTGTCAGCCTGCTTATACTTAATAATTTTATTTTGCAAGAAATATGATGAATAGTGTTCAAAAAGGCCATATACCTACAAAAGCCATAATCAGCATTGGAGCTGTTAGGTCCACTGCTCAAACCAGAGATACATGAACTGACCACATAAGTTAGCAAATAAGTGTATGATTACCAAAAGCTCTGAGGGGAGAAGACTTCATCCCCCTGCACCTTTCTTCCAGAGATCTAGGCCAGCATCAAGAACACAGTGACACCTGGTAGTTTTGGGGAACACACTCGGGAGACCACTGTTGCTCAACAGCTTTGGACAAATGTAAACAGATAGAACATCCTGAGCATATTTGCAGATGACACTGAGGGGCGGGAGGCAAGGGAGGAAGGACTAGTTAACAAAACACATAGTAGTACTCCAGACAAAAGATTATTGGGCCAACAAAACTACTCTCGTGATTCACTGGAGCAAAACACAAAATTTTGCTGTGGTTCCAGTCACGTTCGGGCCTAGACTACATGATCTGTAACAACAGGCTGAGTGAGCCTAACAGCATCGTGCAGCTACTTAAATGGTAAATTACAGAAACAAGGGAGAGAAGCTTTTCTAAGTTATGGTAGATTTCATATATATGCAGCAAGGGGTAACAGTCACAGATAACAGCTGCAAGAGTTCAAATTGCATTTTGGGGAGAAAACTTCACCCAGGTAGTGCTGCAGTAGAACAGATTGCCCAGAGCAGCTGTAACACCTCTTCTCCTCATTTGAGGGTGTCAACTACACAAAATTGTCTGAAATAATCTACTATTGGTGATTGTCCTGATTAAGCAGGTGGGGCTACATGATGTTCAATAGCAGTTTCCAACCACCAGTTCTTTTATGCTAAAGTTACGTCAGGCGGGCCAAAGGAGGATAGAAAGATGAAAGATAAAAAGAGAGCATTAAAAAATGATATTCAAGATTCAACAGTAAATTTAAGACTAGATCTAAAATGAGTAATTGTAAGAAAAGAAATTAAGTGACAATAGAATGGACAAGGTTTGGTCTCAAAATGAGCAAGGCAGAAAAGTTTATCCTAAATCAATTTAAGGTAAGTATACTAATAATTTTTCAGAATCCCTACTATTTTATTGCATTAGAAGCATATAATAAAGAATCTTAAATAACTCTGAAAAATTCCACTGAAATAACAGCTAATATAGCACCTCCAGTAAGTTGGAAATGAGGCAATACTATTATTAGAAAACGCCTGGAAAACAATATTCTGCCATCACCGCTTTTATGATTACACAAAACTTTCTTGAGCAGCCTAAGGATTAATTTAAATCTAGCCCCTGCAGGGAAATGTTTTAGTACTATAAGACAGCATAATAAATTTAATAGAAAAATCTTTACTGCACTTACAGTTAATTTTATCAAAGTTTTTGAAGACAGAGCTGATTTAACAGATGGAAATTTTGATTATATAGCTGTGATTATAAAAGAGAACTGCTGAAGGATTAATATTTCTTTAAAATCATACATAACCTCTAATTCTGTTATTGATGGACTAGATTCTTCATGTGATGAACTATGCACATCTCAGTAACTAATGAAGTTAGGAATTCAACACCAATGCAGCATATGAAAGTGCTACCAATTGGAGGTAGTCATTCAAGAAACTAATTTGACAAATGCTGCTTTTTTTGTAATCTGGACTATAATTAGTGGGTTAGGTTACCTGAACAATATTGCTGTAATGAAATATACAATAAAGAACTGTTTTGATCTGGAGTCTTTGAAAACAGAAGTGCTGAACGCACAGTTCACAGAAAGTGTCTCTCAACTTACACAAAAAAATGCATAATCTGTAACAATGCTTTTCAGTATCAATATTATTTCTGCAAATATATGACAAAATATGACTTTTTAAATTTTGCCCTCACCAAAGTCTGGCAGCTTTGTCTGTGATTTGCAAAGAATTTTGTAGCAAACTACATGAGCTGCTGCATTCTATGCATCCTGGTCAGTTTTTGATTTCTGGAAAACTAAATTACTATACAGAAATGTGTATGCCTAAATATGAAATCTATATGACCAAGGAGTTAATTGGTAACATTTCATGCGAAATAAAAAACACATTGTCTCACTGTTCTTGGCACTTTGTGCTGGAGCTCAGTGAATACAGTGGAACTCAGTATACATTTTTTAAACCACAGGTATATGAAAATCTGTAAACAGCATAGATTAATGGAGAAGATAGTAAGCCAAGAGGAACAGATCACACTGAAAATGCATTTCAGACCATCATTCTGAGGATTCTCATAAATTAAAGGTGATATGACAAAACTGGATAGCACAAGCAGTTACAGATTCCCACAATATGGAGGTACCACATTGCCGCCTCCATTACTTTTGCCATGGCAAGTCTACCTAATCTGTTCATGAATCACCTCCTTAATTGATAACATTTTCAGCCTTGCATTGAGATTGTCACATAAGATGAGACATCCAATTACAATCCTCTCTGAAATGTTCCTCAGAGCCCTTTAAAATGAGACCACAAATGTTAAAAATTTTGTTTAAAGCAACATAAATACAGGAGGTTATCCACCCTCCTCTTTGTACCACTGGTGTTATTTAAAAATATTTTTATTTAGAATAATCAAATAAAGGCTAAGTTACCAAAATTAGGCTTGTGCGTATGATCTTGTTTTGTATTGTCTTTTATTGAAAATCTCACAGAAGTTTTTAGCACCAAAGAAAACAGCAAGACATAATACACAAGACTCAGACATAATTCAAGTGCAAATAATTTTCCTTTTTCCTCACAGTAGTGACTTCTGAAAACATATTTCTATAAAATCGGGCATAGATAGATAATATATACACACACACACACACACTTTTCACTTGAAAAATACATTTAAAATTTCTGTGGCACATCGGTTTCCTAATGGTTATATAACCATATGTATAATCACTTCAATAAATTATCCTTTAAGTTCTTACATATTTTTTTTTAATTGTTATGGGAGGTCAGCAGAACATTCTAAACCACCTCCAAGCTGCAGGTAGATAAACTTTGGGTAGCAAGTCCTAGAATAGTACCATATATACAAACATTTTTTCCATCAGGTACTTAATCAGTAAATATACTTCATAAAACATGTTCTAAGTGAACAACAAGTTGTAAATCTGGGATAACACTTATCAATGAAATTCTACTGTCTTTGTTACAGAAGAAATGCCCAACAGATTTAACTTTAGGGCTTTAGGTAAGATAAAAAAAAAAAATAAGTTCAAGACCCAAATTAAGAAATACTCAAAGGTTATCAAAATGCATCCACACTATGCACTGCATTTGCATTTCAACACAGTTCTTCATCTTGTACATTTATTTCTGTAAGCTCAAAACCAAATTTATCCCAAACTGAATATTCAATTCATACTCACTCATACAAATTCTTCAGTGGTGAAGTTAAAATAGCTAGTACAGAGAGTAGAGAGTTGCAGTGGTTATGTATTTGATAAATCTTGACATCTCTGTCTTTATGTGGATTCAGAAATTCCTGTACAGAGCTGCAAACTGACCAGAGCATATTTTCAGTAGACAACAAAATTGCTGCAATATCAAATCTACAGGAAAGAAGGAATGAAAATAATATTACTTAGGATATTAAGATAGTTTTAGTTTAACAGAGCTTTCTTCTGAGGAATATCTAGTACTAGAAGTACTTCATAGTTACTTGAAGTAATATCTATGTACTTGAAGCTCATCTTCCTTAAGAGGATACTGCATGAATTCTGAACGCACTACACAGAAAATGCAGTTCCCTCACAGTGCTGAAACTAGTCAGCAACAAAAGACTTGTTAAATATGGTAATTCCTCTTCAAAAGGACACTTGCTAGACAGTAACAATTTTCCTTCCAAATTACAGCTAAACCAAACTAAATTTAGTTTTCCTTATGATAAAATATAATTATGGTGTACATACTATTTTCAGATCCTACAGCAATAAAAAGTAACAACAAGTGAACTAATTCTTCAGCTTGCAAAATTTTACAGGTATATTGGCTCACTAGCTATCGGCCTGAACAAAATATATATAATATATTTATAAATCAACACCACCAAAAACTACAGCGGCAACAAAAGGTCACAAGAATCCTTTAGGTTAGAAGGGACCTTTAGAGATCATCTAGTCCAAAATGGTGACATACATACGTAGGTAGAAAACAGTGAATATTTAGTCTTACTGAGAGACAACAGGCATGCAGTAGGACATAAAAAAGCACCTAGAGTGCCCTGTCTACATCACCATCTGTATTGTTAGGGATTTTATTTTGGAAAATCTAGACAAACGTACACACAGACTTCGACTCCAAAATTACACATCTCTAATATTTCAAGAATTTGAAATAAAATATATCCTTGAAGAGCAGTATTATATAAAAAGGTAATCCTTTGTGATGAAAATATTGAATAATAAAAAATGTTTTTTCATTCTTCCAGCTATGCATAAGTGAAAAGTAATTATAACTTCCTATAATTAGACAGGATTTAGTATATGAACACTCAAAAAACAATCTTTCTGCCTAAAGATACAGAAGGACCTAAACACTGAGGATTGAAGCACAGAAACGTGCACTTGGACACCAAGAAGAAAACTTAGGGATTTATTCTCACCTATTCCAAGATTGTGAACTTGGAGAAATTAATTAACCCTTCTATAACATGGATTTTTTTCTCATGATACAAAATTCATCAAGTCAACCTATAAGTCTTAACTCATTAATCATAGAGTACTTCTGGATATATTCAGCTTCCTACAGATGACAGGCTCTCCAAAATCTGCATGAACTTTGCCACTTTCAAAAAATCTAAGAGGAGAATCATATTCACTTAATAAAGAAATACGTTAAGTGAACAGGATCAAGTTCAGGATGCAGATTTCTTCAGTCAAACAAGAGGGGGAAAAAAGAACAAGAATAGACTTTCATCTGGAGACATCTGCTTTAGTATTTCTTAGAGAGCTCCTTCTCTGCCAAAACATAGGAACCCCAACAGAGATGCAGTCAATTTCAGTTTTCCTAAAATGATAGGGACAAGGAATATCCTCTTCCTGCTCCCTCCTCCTGAGCTCTGGCTTTCTTTTTGGCAGAGCTTTGATGTGACCTAAGAGCTCCTCAACTCCGAAGGGTGTTTGTCCTACCAAAAAAAAAAAAAAAAAATCTAATTCTATTGGAACAGATGGAGTTTTCTTCACAAAACATAGGTGTGAGTTGCTGCCAATTCTGAACAATTTCACAAAGGAGGTCTTTGATCATTTTCTAGATGAGTATGTGGCCACCAGATACACTTAAATATTCCAAGTAGATTGAATTTAAAAATATCCTCAAAATACATAATTTCTGTCTGTTCCATCTGCTGCGTTCATGAAAGTTTAAACTTAAATTAAAACAGTGATTAGCAGAACATCGAGATCACACATTCTATCCATTAAAAAAAACGTGTGTTAAATAGGCAACCTTTACCTGATTTGTGGAGTTCTCTTGTAACTGGGACAGGCCTGAGAATATCTGGAGGACAGCACAGCCAAGGATTGCTCCAGTACTTCTGTAAGAATCTCCTGGGCTAACTTGGGAGGCAGAATAGTCCATAGATCATGTCGAAGAGCACAGCAGAAGTAATGCCACATCTGGACAGAGAACGAACATCTTTCCCCCTAGCAAAACCACCACACGTTAAATAATAGAAACACACCTTCCAAGTGTCAATTTAGTTCCTGTGAGTCTAATTAATTCAATCTGAAAGGAAATAGCTGAAGAGTTTCAAGCATATGATGACCAAATAGCGGTCCTTGACAAGATGTGAACATCTTTATTAACAAAGAAACACATGTTCCATTTCAGTTACAAAACTAGAGTTCTGCCATAAAACCAAACCATAAAAATTTGACCTTACAAATCCTTAATTAACCTAATCTCAAAAACATAGTGGTTTAGGTCAAACTCAAAAACATATACAGTACTTTTTTAATGAATAAAAAAAAAAATACATTGAAATGACTTCAGCATGCATATTTCCCCAAATTCATCCTGCCACACGTCAAAATGATTATGTATAACAGAGATACAATAACAGCAGAAAAAATACCTGGGTAATTAACATAAGAATCCCATTTTTTTTCTATATGATTTTTTTCACTAATAACAGCAATTCATTGAAACAAAACACTTTCTGGGGATAAATCAATATTGGTATTAATATTTAGTTACCTATATATAGAAGAATCACCTCAGTAAGACACAGACACAAATATAGAACAGTGAAAAAACGCAGTGAAAAAAACACATGAACAAATCTAAGTAGAATATATATTAAGTCACGTTTTAACATTTCACCTAAATACTGTTCAGAAATTAGTACTATTATGAAACTGAAACACTCAATAGCACAATTAAACACCTGACAACTGTTTCCACATAGATAAAATCAAGTAATTTCATAGTGACCAAAAATGGATCAGGTTACACAGAAAATTACAGATCAAGTTCACAGGATTAGAGAATCACAGAATGGTTGAGGTTGGAGGAAACCTCTAGAAACCACCTAGTCCATCCCCCTCTGCTAAAGCAGGGACATCCTCATTTTTCTTATCTTAAATAAAATCAAAATATTATTGCAGCATATGCCGAGACTTCCTCATAGAAAAGAGAAGTTTACCTCTGGAAGCCTCCGTGCATACCTCAAAAGGGTGTTACTTTTGTAAGGGGGGGGGGGGGGCGAATGGCTTTGATAAATTATCACTAGTGCCGAGATACACTCTGAAAGACCTTATTCAACTCTCCCTGACCGGCGGCTCCACTCCAGCCTAGAGTTATTTTTATTAACAACTCCCTTTTCATTGCAAAAACATGCCTGCTCTTCGAGAACAAACAGGTCAGGCACAAAACTATTATTTTACACTCCTTAATGTAAACTGATTCTTTTTGGTCATACCTTTAACAAAAAAAACTGCAAAAAAAACTTTATGAAATTTAGAAATAGATTTCTAAATGAAGTTATAAATGTATTTATTTTTTAAGCAACCAAATGCTGGCAAGTTATAGCTATTAACTATGTATAGCTATGTATGCATACAAATTAATTATATAATTTTTGGTAAATTATTTAAACAAATTTTGAATAATATCCCTCTTTCTAAAATCATGCCACTATTGCAGAAGCAAATGAGTTGCAATGAAGATTTAAACGGGATTCATTGTCCTTCTCTGCCCTGTTTTTCTATTTGTTGCCATTTCTAGACAATTCTACTGGTAAACATCTGCTATTTTGTGCAGGCTTCGTACAATACAAACAGATGTGAGCTTTTATTTAGCTTATATATCAGGAAACAAGCAGCTGGGCTTTATTACATAAGCCACTCAATATTATCTTTGAACAGACAATTCTTTATTCTTTGACTATTAGAAAACATAAGTTCCTAAAACTACAGCAGATGTCTGCTACACTAAACGCTTGATTTGAAAACGTAACCTGGAGAGCCGGCCCGGTGGGTGTTCAGTGCAGTGCACCAGCGAGATGCTCAGCCCTCAGAGCTTCCCTGGCAGCTCCATGGGAATCAGGCTCCGAGTTCAGTTCAGAGCTCACTGACATTGCCACAGAAAGTGGCCTTTGTATCTTGCAAAATCTCTGCTTAACTTTAATTACTGAGTATCAAAAGCCTAAGGTGATCTCACCATGATTAGAATTCTGTATTTGCTGCATTTGTCAAAGGGTCTTTTGGCTTTTCTTTTCCTCTTACTGCTATTGGATTAAGTGCATGTCAGAGGGAGGATATGAAAGCAGGAATTGAAATTGATTAGAAGTGTAAAAATAAAGTAAAATGTTATTTCAACAATCTAGAAGAGAAATAATATTTTATTTTATAGATTGTAATAGCCATTTGCTACCAATCTTGTTCATCTCGGATGTTGTCATTTTACAAATAAATAACTGCATAAGGAAACAGCAGTACTATGTAATCAAATACAGAAGGTATCCTCCCCTCCTTTAACTTCATCTTTTTTTTTAGTGGTTTGATTTTATTTTCTTACAGATATCTTAGGTCCTATCAAGTAAGTTGTTTTATTAGTGAGGACAGAATTTGTGGGCAGTGGAAAGGAAGGCATCACATATTCTTGTAATACCATTTAAATGTCCCATATTACTGGGGGAAAGGAAGGCAGTAAGTCCTTATGATGCCTAAAATGCAGGGTTGCCATTTAGTTTGTTAGCTAGCACACTAGGCATTAATGGGGAGAGAATTCTTCCCTTCTCACCCAAGGTGATACAACAGTTTGCTCAGTTTATGGGAGAATAATAGATTTATTTTCTTTAAGAAATTCACCAAGGATTCACAAATTAAATCTTTTATATTGGCATGAAATACTGAAAAGTGAGGGACAGGGAAGAAAGGGAAGCAAGGTCCTGAGCTAAGCTGGACACAGGAGCTACTCTTCTCAACACACAGGCAGAGAGCAGAGCAGCTTCCAGCTACAAAAGCAAGATCGTGGTATTGCTCAAGACAGATCCTACTGACAGTGCTGCAAGGGCTGAGAGCCACTGCCTCTCTCAAATGCAAGAGTGCGCTCCCAGCGAGACACTGAGTTCCCATCCAGTGCCTCTGACCAGATCCCGCTCCTGGAGACAGGCAAGGGGTCCTGGCTCCAAGCTCCTCTCGTGTTCCAAGCTCAGCAGGATCTGCATGACCTTAACATTCAGAGGCAAAGCTTCACGGCTCCTGCTGGGTGTTGAACTCGCGAGGAGCCACCTCGCACAGCGAGAGGTTTCAGCAGTGCGTTGCTTCTGTAACAAGCGGTAGCTCTCAAGCCAACCTCTTCCATTCAGGAGGCCTGCAAAGCTCAGCAGAAGTAACAGCTGCTCAGCATCACACCTCCTGGAGACACTCTGAGCAGATTATGGGCCATCTTTCACAAAAAAGCAGCAAGATGATGGAAAATTACATACTGCCTACTCCAAGCACTGCAGGTGTACTGAGTTGAAATACATCTCTTCCCACACACATCAGTTCTGATCACTAGTGATAGAATTGCTGAGCTCATTCAATTCCGTTTTTGTTGGGGCAACTATTTGCGCCCATCAGGCTTCCTCCACGGTGGACAATTGTCCGCTAGATAGTTATTGCAGTGGAATCACCAATAAATGGCAAACAGAATCAGATAGACTACAGTCGGTATAAATCAGATTAATTGGTAAAAATCTACTTTTTTTAAGCCTCTCAGCCTAGGACATTTTCAATCACGTGAAAAGTAAAATGCTAATTTTCTTGTCTTTAAGGGAGGGACATTTTGATGTTACTTCGCATATAAGGTCTGTTTAAATCAACAGACAATATGGATTTTTGTCACCGATTCATCAGCTCTTCCTATTACATTTCTAGGATGGATATACTGAAGAAGCTCTCATGTGTAACAATTCTAGAAAATGCTTAAGAATAAAACCCTAATTCATTCACACAGCAAATTTAATGAGAAAGGGCAGGACTTTCCTTCCATATCTCAATTATTATTGTTATAAAAAGAGTAAAAACGTAACTAAATCCTGATAATATGCACAAATAATTTCAAACAACAAATATCTAGTATACACCTTACCATGCATTTATACAGATATGTATTTATATGTATATTTAGCCGAGTAGTTTTTAGGAAAAAGAAATAGTTCATTAGAATAATCTATTCAATTGATCCTTAGGCTCTTTCCATTGTTTCACTGAGGCTGTAGTTTAAAAGCAGACCTGTGACTCAAATGCAGGTGAAGTAACATAAGTCATTTCAGATATATACTGGAATGCTATATTGATCATGTTTTTTGTTACACGCTTTACTCACCAAAGTGAAAGGAAACCAATGGAGAATAAAATCAAAAGAAATATTAATCATATTTAAAATTCAAGTGAAAAAATAACACTCTTGCATTCCCATATGCTGCATTTCCTACAAGGAAAGTTGAAATGATGGTAACCCCATGGCATGGGGGGCCAGGGAAGAAGGTAATCT